AAAGGCCTTTTTTTTTCCCAAAAAACCAAAAAAAGGGGGGAAAAAATTTTTGGGGGGGTTTTTTTTTTTAAAAAAAAACCCCCGGGGGGAAAGGAAAATTTTAAAAAAGGGGGGGAAAAAAAAAAAATTTTTTTTAAAAAAATTTTTTTTTTTTTAAAAAAAAAAATTTAAAAAAAACCCCCCCCAAAAAAAAATTGGAAAAAAAAAAAGGGGGGGTTTTTAAAAAAAAGGCCCCTTTTTTAAAGGGGGTTTTTTTTTTTTTGGGGGTGGGGGGAAAAAAAAACCCCCCAAAAAAAAAATTTTTAAAAAAAAATTTTGTTTTTAACAAAAACCCAAAAAAAAAAATTTCCCCCCAAAAAAAAAAAAAAAAATTTTTTCCCAAAAAAAGGGGGGGGGGAAAAAAAAAAAAAATTTTAAAAAAGGGGGAAAAAAAAAACCCCCCCAAAAAAAACCCCAAAAAGGGTTTTAAAACCCCAAAAAAAAACCCCCCGGAAAAAACCCCCCCAAAAAAACCCCCCCCCCCAAAAAAAAAAAACCCCCCTTTTGGGGAAAAAGGGGGGGAAAAAAAAAAAAAAAACCCCCCCAAAAAAACCCCCTTTTTAAGGGAAAAACCCCCCCCCTTTTTTTTTTTTAAAAAGGGGAAAAAATTTTAAAATTTTGGGGGGAAAAAACCCCCAAAAAAAAATTTTTTTCCCCTTTTTTGCCTAAAACCCTTTCCCCCCCTTTTTTCCCCTTTAAAAAAAAAAACCCCCGGGCCCGGGGAAAAAAAGGGGAAACCCCCGGGGCCCCTTTGCCAAAAAAAAATTTTTTTTAAAAATAAAAAAAAAATTTTAACAAAAAAAAAAGGGGAAAAAAAAATTTTTAAATTTTTTTTTTTTTTTTTTTTTTCCCCCCCCAAAAAATTTTTTGGGGAAAAGGGAAAAAAAGGGGGGTTTTTGGTTTTTTTTAAAAAATTTCCCCCAAAACCCCCTTTTTTTAAAAAACCCAAAAAAAGGGGGTTTTTTGGTTGTTTTTTTTTTTTGGGGGGAAAAAAAAAAAAAAATTTTTTTTAACCTTTTTTTTTTTTTTTTAAAAAATTTTTTTAAAAAAAAAAAAAAATTTGGGGGGAAAAAAAAAAAAAAAACCCCCAAAAAAAAAAAACAAAAAAAAAATTTTAAAAAAATTTTAATTAAACCACCCCCCCTTTTTTTTTGGGGAAAAAAATTTCCCTTTTCCAAACCTAAATTTTTTAAAAACGGGGGGGGCCCCCAAAAAAAAAATTTTTTTTTTGGGGGGGGTTGGTTTTTCAAAAAACCCAAAATTTTTTTTTTTGGGGGGCCGGGTTAATTAGGGGGGTTTTTTGGGGGGGGCCCGGGGAAAAAAAATTTTTTTTGGGGAAAACCCCAAAAATTTTTCCCCAAAGCCCCCTTTCCTTTTTTTTTTTTCCCCCAAAAAGGAAAAAAAATTTTAAACCCCCCCCCGGGGGGGGGTTTTTGGGGGGTTTTCCAAAAAAAAGGGAAAAAAAAAGGGGGGGTTTTTTTCCCCCTTTTTCCCCAAAAAAAAAAAAACCCCAAAAAAAAAATTTTTTGGGGTTTTTTTTTTCCCCCCCCAAAAAAAAAATTTTTTCCCCCCAAAAACCTTTTTTTTTTTTTAAAAAATTTTTTTTTTTTTTCCCCCCCTTTTTTTAAAATTTTTTTTTTTTTTCCCTTTTGGCCCCTTTTTTAAAAAAAAAACCCCCCCCAAAAAAAAAAGGGGGGTTAAAAAAAAGGTTTAAAAAAAAAAAAAAAAAAATTTTTTAAACCCCCCCCCCCCCTTTTGGGGGAAAATTTTTTTAAAAAAGGGGGGGAAAAAAAAAATTTTTAAAAAAAAATTTTAAAAATTTTTTCCCCCAAAAAATTTAAAGGGGCCCCCCAAAAAAAAAAACCGGAAAACCAAAAAAAAAAAAATTTTTTTTTCCCCCAAAAAAAAACCCCCAAAAAAATTTCAAATTTTGGAAAAAAAAAAATTTTTTTAAAAAAAAAAAAGGGAAAAAAAAATTTTTTTAAAAAAAGGGGAAAAAAAATTTTTTTTCCCCCAAAAAAAACCCCCAAAAAAAAACCCCGGAAAAAAAATTTTTTTTTTTTTCCCCAAAAATTTTTTTAAAAACACCCCTTTTTAAATTTTAAAAAAAAATTTTTGGGCCCCAAAAAAAAAAAAAAAAAAATTTTTTTGGGTTTAAATTTTTTGGCCTTTAAAAAAAAAAAAAACCCCCCAAAAAAAACCCCCCCAAAAAAAATTTTTAAATTTAAAAAAGGGGAAAAAAAAATTTTTTTTTTTAAAACCTTTTTATTTGTTTTAAAAAAAAATTTTTAATTTCCCCAAAAAAACCCCCCCGGGGGGGCCAATTTTTTTTTTTTTCCCCCCCAAAATTTTTTAAAACTTTTTTTTTTTTTTTTTTTTTTTAAAAAAAAACCCCCCCCCCCCCCTTTTTTTTTTTTTGGTTTAAAAAACCCCTTATTTTTTAAAAAAAGGGCCGTGTGTTTTGGGGTGTGTAAAAATGGAAAATGTTGCATTTAGGATGGACGAGACCGTTTTAAAGAAAAAACAGGACTGTGAGTCAGTGCTTGTGAGACCGCCTACGAAGCGCCAGCCCAATCTTATGGGAGGGGAATTCATTCCCGTCAATAGGCTTGCACGGTTGGAACGGGGGGCGAGTTTCGAGTTTTGTGCTGAAAAGGATCGTTAGTAGATTTTGTTCCCGGCATTCCCACCTCCCGAAGCCGCTGCCTTGATTAGTTCACAGATCGTCGAAAAACAAAACCGGAAAATGGCCCGAACAAAGCAAACCGCTAGGAATTGAAATCGTTCAAACTTTCAAGCAAGATGGCGTCC